CAATGATTATACAGTTTATACAGAAATATAGTATTATTTTTCTATAATCATTATAATATTATATTATTATATAACTATTCTATAATATTTTAATATTTAGATATATTTTTATAGTTAGGATTATTCATTGAAATGACCCAATGATTATACAGTTTATACAGAAATATAGTATTATTTTTCTATAATCATTATAATATTATATTATTATATAATTATTCTATAATATTTTAATATTTAGATATATTTTTATAGTTAGGATTCATTGAAATGATTCAATGATTATACAGTTTATACAGAAATAGTATTATTTTTCTTAGTAATTTTCTTTCAAACTATATTATTATATTTGTTATTTAATAAATGTAAGAAATTTTCAAAGGAATATAAATTTGTACATCGAATATTCAATATTGTACGATATTACACAAATGGTGGATTTGTTTAAATTATTGAATTTTGTAGACAATATCTGAATATTATTTTATATTATTTTATAAGAAAAGTTTCTATTTTTTCTTTCTTTTTTTTTCATTTTTTTTTTTCATTCTTTATAGATATAAATATATATATATATATATATATTTATAGGTCGACTTAATTGATTCGAATATATTGGAATACATACGTACGAGACAATTAAATGAATTTTATCGAATAAAATATCGACTGTCTCTATCGCGGATATTTCAATAAAACGTGTCATGTGTTTTCCTATACAGGTAAATGTGAAAAATGGATAAAGATAAAATTATTCTATTACATATATATAGTTATGTGTATAGTCACATGCATATGCACTTATATACACATAAATGGATAGACAAAACTATGATGACACTTTTCAAATTATTATTTTACTTCGTTGGAAATAAAATAAGTAAAAAATATTTTTTATACAATTTATTTTTCTTTTCATTCTTTATCTATCAACATATAAATCAATTAATTTTGATTAGGATTAAATTGATTAAATAATAAATAATTTATGAATACACCCTTGAGCACAACGTCAGTCACCGATGACTGACAGATTCAACTATTTTACAATACAAAGTAACACCTGTGGCCTGATGGGAATTTCCCGAAGAATTTGCATGGCGCTCAAAGTATAGTAAATTTACAAAATACAATTCATCAAATTTGCAACTATGAACTTTCACATTCCTAATGCAAATTAATAATAATAATAATAATAATAATAATAATAATAATAATAATAATAATAATAATAATAATAATAGTAATTTATAAAGTATAATAAATTATTATATTATATAATAGAGTGATGATTTTTCTAATGATTTATTTATTATGAATTATTGATTATGTTGATTTTAATGATAAAGTTAAGTTAATAATAAAAAAAAAAAAGATTTACTCACCGATTGGCACGTTGACAGCAAAAAGGAAGACAAGTGCGCGATAGCAGAGCATCGTGCGCCAATCAGAATCAACTATTGATGATTCGTCTTTATGGTGTCTTTTAATGAAGAGGGTGGTGGGTAAGGGTAGGTGAAGGGTTTGTTAGGAAATAATATGCTTCTCTTCTTCTCTTCCTCTTTTCTTCCACGTTTTTCTTTCCCACACTATCCTCATGCACACTCCTTCTTCTTTCTTCGTTCTTATTTTTTATTTATTTTTTTTTTGCCCTTTTCTATTTTTTTTTTTTTTTATTATCTTTTTTTTTATCTACTTAACCCCATCATCTTCCACGCGAGCCACCGTCGTTGGTTTATTGACGTATAACATCCC